GTGCTAGAAAAATTTCCTTAAAATTCGGGACTGGGTTCATTTTACTGAAAATCCATCAGTCATGTCAACTTTCAGTCATACCGGCCTCTAATTGAAGCCTACTTTGTGACGGCTGCTGGAGTCCGCAAATGAAAGCGAATAAACTGCAAGGAACGCGTCAGGGTATTTTTGTATTGCAGTATGCGGTACACAGCTTCGATTCTCGTTCTTCCCGCCTGTAACATTACTCATTTAGGCGAGCAATTCTAACTTTTACTTCCAATGAATTTATGCCATTGGGAAGATACAGGAAAACCAGGTGGGCACATCATGTTAATGATGTGAATCTACTGGGTCATAACATAGATACCATAAACAGAAACACAGAAAGTTTGATTGACGCAAGTAAGGAGGTTCGTCTAGAAGTAAACACAGAGAAAACTAAGTATATGTTGCTGTCTCGTCACCAAAATGCAGGACAAAATTATGACATAAAGATAGGTAACGGATGTTTTGAAAATGTGGCACAGTTCCGATATTTGGGGACAACGATAACAAATCAAAACCTGATTGAGGAGGAAATTAAGATAAGATGGAACTCCGGTAATGCTTGTTACCATTCGGTCCAGAACCTTTTGTCTTCTCGTCTGCTGTCCAAAAACATAAAAATTAGAATATAGGAAACTATAATTTTGCCTGTGGTTCTGTATGGGTGTGAAACTTGGTCTCTGACATTAAGGGAGGAACACAGACTGAGGGTGTTTGAGAACAAGGTGTTGAGGAGAATATTTGGACCGAAGAGAGATGAAATGACAGGAGGTTGGAGAAAACTGAATAATGAGGAGCTTCATAACTTGTACTCTTCCCCAAGTATAATTAGAATGATCTAATCAAGGAGAATGAGGTGGGCAGGGCATGTAGCACGAATGGGGGAGAAGAGAAATGCATATAGGTTATTGGTGGGACAGCCAGAAGGAAAGAGACCACTGGAAAGACGAAGACGCAGGTGGATGGACAATATTAAAATGGATCTTAGAGTGATAGGATGGGATGGTATGGATTGGATTGATCTGGCTCAGGATAGGGACCAGTGGATGGTTCTTGTGAACACGGTAATGAACCTTCGGGTTTTTTATTGCTAGTGGGGTGGGACTAAGTCTCTTGTACTGCGGCCACTTCTGGCCTATTGTACCAGCCCCAGATGATAGGTGAGGGTGATTGTGGAGCAATTGGTGGAATGAAGATTGGCAGGGGAAATCGAAGTACTCGGAGAAAACCTGCTCCAAAGCCACTTTGTCCACCACAAATCCCACTTGACCGGACCCGGGATCGAACCCGGGCAGCCGCGGTAGGAAGCCAGCGACTAACCGCTTTAGCTATGGCGCGGCCCTAAGTAAGTAAGGAAGACACAATAGACCACTGTAAGTCGCGGTGCAAGGGCCGAGGTGGCCTACCCCTCGTACACTCAAGTAAGTAAATGAATGTAACGGACTACTTTCGTTATATTTCCAGAGTGTCTTCCTACTGCTGTTAGTAGCGGTCTGCTGGGCTGTCCTGACAGGAGCACAGGAAGCAGGACCCACCTCTTCGTTACCCTCTTATCAACCAGATACTGAACCGACGAAACCGAGAAGCAATTCCTCACCTGTTTCAGCAGAGACAATCATTGGATGCGATGGGTCAGCATCAACACTGAGCCCAGTCCTAAGCGACATCAGGAAATTCTTCTCTTCTCTGAAATTGGCGCCAATAGTAAAGGATATCCTGCCAATTCTGTCTGACGTAGCCTCACAACATACGGCATGCAGTCCAAAAGGACCGACGATTGCTTGCGGTGATACTCAGCAGAACACCAATGAACAAACAGTACAAAGTGGAGTTCCCGCGACATACTTATCACAATCAGCAGATGTAGATATCTCAACGCCTACTTCCAGATCTTCATCACAATCAGCAAACGTGGATATCTCTACGGCTCCTTCCAGGTCTTCGTCACAATCAGCAGACGTGAATATCTCTACGCCTCCTTCCAGATCCTTATCACAATCAGCAGACGTGGACATCTCTACGGCTCCTTCCAGGTCTTCATCACAATCAGCAGACGTGGACATCTCTACGGCTCCTTCCAGGTCTTCGTCACAATTAACAGACGTGGATATCTCTACGGATCCTTTCAGATCCTTATCACAATCAGCAGACGTGGACATCTCTACGGCTCCTTCCAGGTCTTCGTCACAATTAATAGACGTGGATATCTCTACGGATCCTTTCAGAGCCTTATCACAATCAGCAGACGGAGATGCCACAACGGTTGTACCGAAAAGCTTGCCGCAAGCAGAACCATCAAGTATTTCTCTCTTTTCCTCTAAATGGGATAAAGACGAGCCAGAGTATGAGTGCTCGAAGCCTGGACACTTCCCAGCACCACCGAGCTGCACTGAGTATCATGTGTGCCGTAGGGTTGGACTGTTTCTAGTGCATTCTACAGAATCGTGCTCTTTCGGCCACAGGTTCAGTTCACGTTTTGGGATCTGCGTTCCAAAGCTTCTTTTACCTGACTGTGAAGGAGAGCTGTCCTCATTATACTCGAACGAGCATTCCAGCAAGAAATCCTCATGGCATTTCAGCAAGAATTCTACATGGAATTCCAGTAAAGACTCCTTGTGGGATTATATCAAGAACTCCTCATGGCATTCCAAGAAGGACTATTCGTGGAATTCCAGCAATGACTTATCATGGCATTTCACCAAGGATTCTTCGTCGAATTCTAACAAGAATCCATCACGGAATCCCAGGAAGGACTCCTCGTGGATGCCCAGCAAGGACTTCTTATGGCATTCTAGCAAAAATTATTCCTGGGTCTCCAGCATAAATCCAACGTGGCATTTGAGCAAGAACTCCTCAAGAAATTCCACGAAGAACTCCTCATGGAATTTCAGCAGGAACTCGTGGAATTTTAGCAAAAACTCCTTGTGGCATTCCAACAAGGACTTCTCATGGAATTCCAGAACGAACTCCACGTGACATCTGAGCAAGAACTCACCATGGGATCCCAGCAAAAAAAAAAAAAAGACATATCAGCCAAGATACATGGTAACATCAGTGTAGCAATGAGAGCGTTGAAGAATGAAATAATTTCATATATTGATAATACAACATTCCTTCGCTTCACAGTATTGCCACATTCTGGCGTTCAGAATTCTACTTAATTCAGTATGAGATGAATTCTGCTGCAAATGTGCAACCGAAGTTTCAAAAACGTGAAACACCACCGCAAGGGAAGTCGATTGATGCCCGGTGTCAGTAGCTGCTGCCTTCCACGAGACCCATGGGGCTCCTGTTGGACGTCTATAATGTTTGTTAAGAACCTGGGAGAGACTCTCTCAGTCTGTACGTGTTACACGAACACTACGTGGCTAGTTTATCTTATATGATCTGTTGAAAGTGTTTACTTAATTTTGAATTTTTTTATATTTAAAAATGCAGATCATACCTCACAGGGAACACGCTGTTTCTGCATCATGAACACAAATCGTTGAACGCTACACGGAAAGACGTTTAATAATTGTTTATTCTGAGTCCATACGATAAACACTTTGTGTACAAGTGCATTCCCGAATGTTGGAGCAAGTAGACAGATACGACTGCACCTCAAAGAATTTTAATATTCCTAAGCGTGAATAATTATCAGTAAAACTTATCTCTGTATATGCCATAGACATGTATATAGACATCAAATCTTATTTTTTCTTGTATTCTAAGTATGTAATTTACTGCAGTGAGTATTTGTGATTATATGAACGTATTTCCTACGCCAAACTGGATAATTGCTACACCAAAGAGAGCATTTTGTGCATGAAACAGCATATTTGTTCGTTCGTTGTTTTCAATTATAAAATATATAATTTTGCCACGCGGGCAATAAATGATGGTCATTTTGCAGTGTAAATAATGTTAACAGCCGGATCACATAATCTGATGACCAGTAAATAATACTCGCACTTAAGAATTTCTGCTAAAATGCAGGAATAATTTCGAGGTTTAAAATAATTTTGGAAAAAATGAACGACTTGCCGACCATAAAAACCCGCGATTTACAGGCCGAACCGCTGATTGTTGCCTCCAGTATTGACCAAAATAGACAACAGCCTATATTAAATCTCCGTTACATAGCCCACGCGGTTAATGCTGTTTATGGAAACAGTCGCTGTTTATTGTGAGAACCATACGGAACACACAAATACAATGTGTGGACAGAATGCAGAGTTCAGTGCGTACCTCACAGGAAACACACACTACGTCTCCATTACAAAGCCCAACCGATTAATGCTGTTTAGGGAAAGAGCCGATGTTTATTGTGAGAACCATATGGAACACACAAATACAATGTGTGGACAGAATGCAGAGTTCAGTGCGTACCTCACAGGAAACACACACTACGTCTCCATTACAAAGCCCAACCGATTAATGCTGTTTAGGGAAACAGTCGATGTTTACTGTGAGAACCATACGGAACACACAAATACATTGTGTGGGCAGAATGCAGAGTTTCTGTACATTAAAGCAAGTGGTATACGATTCTGACGGACAATTTTCACTAGGTGTTCATTTTCTTTTTTCCCCAAGAGTTCCTAGTTTATTTCTATAAAATTCCCTGCCAAATGTTTCATTTCGAGAAAACACACAAATCGTATGGTGAGACCAAATGAGCAATTCGTTGCGCAAATATATGTGTCGCTTTCTGTTTTGATGACTAAGTGAACCTGTTGTGAATTCGTGACACTTTTACATGACTCGACACAAGGCAACAGGATTACGCTACGGGAAGATGTGGCTCTGCCTATGAACCCCGTATATCAACATCTGTGCAGATAAGAAACTGCACACATTTACACGTGAATAGAAACCGCAGGAAATGTGTGTGTGGGAGGCTGCTATCTCGCTCATAAAGTGAACACCAGAGCTGTAATAAAAGACGTGGTAACATTGCAGGGTTAGCACAGGTGATGGAAGGAGTCAGGATGACTTATAAGACTATTACGGTAAGAACTTGCATCTTCTAACCTGAGATACGTTAAGTTTCCTTGTTGATGTCAAAATACACAGTGGCTAGAACTTGAAACTCGATATGCTACGCAAATTAAGGTATTATCAAGTGTAAGGGGTTTCGTGACTAATAAGAATGGGTTCTGGCTTAGATGATTGGGCTTATGGGCACTTACTTACAATTACAATCAATTATAACAGCTCACAAATTGAACTTCTCAGCGACGTCTGTTTGACGAATCTCTAAGAGGATTCTCTGACTAAACTCTCGAATTCACGAATGAATTCCTTTTATAACTTCCACGCGGCCCGAATATAAGTCACCATGTCGAACAGTTAATGGTTCTCTGTTATTCTGTTTGTTACGGGAATGTCTTTGTTAATATTGGATACCGGGAAACAAGTGTTTGAGTGCCGTTGCCTAGCAAATTAACTTCCGCTTAGTCTGCTATTACGGCTTTTAGGCCGTGTTTACTAAGCCGTTGCCTAGCAATGGATTATTTCGTCACAATATTAACTCTTTTTAAAGATTTGTTACTACGGTGTGTATCCAGATTACGGTATCACGGGATATGACACCGTGTAGCTTGATAATCTGATACCAACGCTATGATGGAATACCTTGTCTCTTATTTCATTGTCGTTTCTACCTTAAAGATGGTGGTCTCAATTTTCTCCGAAACGTTGGTACCATCTATAAAAAAAATATACGTCACGTCTACGCTGACGGCGATATAAAATATGGTGATGTAATTAATGAACAATGATTAAAATCACGCCCAGAAATTCCATCGCAACACTTCCACGTCGCATTAACAGCCGTAGGTACCGTGCATATTGGTAAGGGTATGCAGTAAATTAAAAAAAAAACTGACAGGAAATTGGCATTCGTTTGTGTTTATGTGTACAGTAGTGTCGACCTGAACTGTCGGCCATTTTGTCAGTGTGCACTTGCCGCCCGGAACTGCAAGACGGTGAACGTAAAGCTGTAATGTGTGCCGTTGCGTTGCATAGTGTGAAACTTGGTCCCTCATGTTAAGTTAAGAACACGCGCTGACAGCGACTGCAAGCAGGGACCTGAGGATATACAAGGTGTCCCAGGAGGAATGGACCAAACTTCGGGAGGGTGTTCCTTATGTTAAAGTATGCCGATATAACCCAAAACACCTATGTCCAAAGTTGAACGGTTACGGAGATAATGGCCAGAGAAGTGTCAAACTTTGACCGGTGTTACACACTTGTTGATTACAAAATACATATTAAAACTGGCAGGAATATGTGGATTCTGTAATGTTAATAATGTACGTAACATCAAACTAACTTGTGAGTGACGGAAAGCCATAAAATTGAAGTACGAAATACTCGCTCGCCATGTCATAATTGTCCTTAGGTTTCCAAGCACTATACATGACACATGACTGGCGAGCGATGACGTAATATGGCTGCGCTATAACCCGACCACATAACTGTAAACGTACATTCACAGGAAATCTCTTTTGGAATTTCGTTTCCATTATCTCATGTGGATTATTATGGAACCACGTATGCACATTTCGTAAATTATTTACACCATCCAGGGTAAAAGACGCCTCATCACTGAATAAAATGACGCTTAACAGTTCGGGATGAACTTTTTATCCAGTGGCACAAATCCATACGCTGTGCATGGTCGCCTGGTTCCAGATGTTGTACCATTTGATCATGGTAAGAATAACTCTTCATGATGTAAAGTTTGCCACACCTGAATACGTGATACGCCGATGCGAGAGGCGATTCTACGAGTGATAGACGCGGACTTCACTGAACAATATCAAGAATGTGCTCTCGTGTGTCTATCATTCGTACATCCTGCCTTTCAGAGTGCACAGAAACACTTGCAAGAGAACCAGTATCACGCAATGTCTGGTGAATTCGCGTAAATACACTTCGAGATGGAATCCTTCGATCGGGAAAACGCCTTTGGTATTCTTCAACAGCAGCACGTGCATTGCGACCGCAAAATCCACACACAAAATGCATATCACAATATTCCACGTGTGAAAACACAAGAGGCATTTCAGCAACTCATCACACAACTAATTTACCACCCATTCACGACCCCGCCGCAACGTAATCTGTAGGCTTTGGTAGGTTGCGCATGAGATCACGGCTAGTGTGACATCACCACACTCAAGTAGAAACAGATAACAGTCACAGCTGACTGTCCACAGTGCGTGGACCTGCAAGAAGACCACACTTTTCTCGGGTCATTATCTCCGTAACCGTTCAACTTTGGACATAGGTGTTTTGAGTTATATCGGCATACTTTAACATAAGGAACACCCTCCCGAAGTTTGGTCCATTCCTCCTGGGACACCCTGTATAAACTAGGAGAGAGCAGATAACAGAATAACGGAGAACAGTACATAATGACTTCAGACAGAAACCTGTTTCCTCTTTATTGTTGTTACCTTATTTCGTCTTCTCCCTGTTCTTACTACCATTTTTACTCGTCTTTCTCCTTCATTAATTTCTACTCCTCTTTCGTCCTCCTTCCCTTCTCCATCTGCTCCATCACAGTCTCAACCCGCTCCTTCCCCTTCTCCACATGTTCCTTCCCCACTCCGACTGTTCCTTCCCTCCACCACCTGCCCCTTCCCAACTTCCACTTGTTCATACCCCTCTCCACCTGATCCTTCCCACTCAACACTTGCTCCTTCCCCTCTCCGACTGTTCCTTCCCCCCACCACCTGACCCTTCCCAACCACCACTTGTTCCTACCCCTCTCCACCTGCTCCTTCCCCTCCACAGCCTCTCAGTTTTCTCCTATCATTCCTTTAGTATCCTGTGTTAGGATCTGACTGCATTAACATGCAACCGACTGTTACTTTCTGAGATTCCTCACGAATATCCAAGTGAGGCTTTGAGCCACTTTCTGAGATCGAACTTCCATATGCGATTCTGGTTTCCTGTCAGCTCTCTCTTCAGGGCACAGTGAGAGCTGGTGCGTTATTACTGATTGTAATGGATTCATTACTGTTAGTAGTAACAGCAGCAGTAGCAGTTGTAGTTGTAGTAACAATCATAATTAAATTCTTATTCATTTACGTACTGACTTAACAGCCCAAAGGCCAATTACAAGCAAGGAGACCAAAAAAAGGCAAATTAATATCATTTAATCAATAACAGTAATTCATGTTTAATAAAAGGAAGAAAATAGAGAGGCTACTCATACAGTACAGCTATGAGAGCTTACTTACTTACTTACTTACTTACTTACTAATGGAGCCGAGGCCTTCTTCAGGAGCCGCCAATTCTGCAGCTACTCAAGAAATTCCCAACGTTTTATGGAACCCGAAAGTTCATTACCCTGTTCACAAGAGCCCTCCACTGGTCCCTATCCCGAACCAAATCAATCCAATCCATACCATCCCATCTTATCTCTCTAAGATCTATTTTAATATTGTCCACCCACCTACGCCTTGGTCTTCCAAGTGGTCTCTTTCCTTCTGGCTTTCCCACCAATATCCTATATGCATTCTTCGTCTCCCCCATCCATGCTACACTCCCTGCCCACCTTATCCTCCTTGACTTGATCATTCTAATTATACTTGGAGAAGAGTACAAGTTATGAAGCTCCTCATTGTACAGTTTTCTCCAACCTCCAGTCACTTCATCTCTCTTCGGTCCAAATATTCTCCTCAACACCTTGTTCTCAAACACCCTCAGTCTATGTTCCTCCCTTAATGTCAGAGACCAAGTGTCACACCCATACAGAACCACAGGCAAAATTATAGTTTTGTATATTCTAATTTTTATGTTTTTGGAGAGCAGACGAGAAGACAAAAGTTTCTTGACCGAATGGTAACAAGCATTACCGGAGTTCAATCTCATCTTAATTTCCTCCTCAATCAGGTTTTCATTTGTTATCGTCGTTCCAAAATATTTGAACTGTGTCACATTTTCGAAAAATCTGTTACCTATCTTTATGTCATAATTTTGTCCTGCATTTTGGTGACGAGACAGCAACATATACTTAGTTAATAGAAAGTCCGTCGAGTGTAACAATTTGTAGGTCACTTTTTATTATTATTTCTGTCTTACATGTTTCGGTTTGATACAACCATCATCAGAGGCACTTGCTATAATTATGGAAACACTGTCGCTTTTTTTATGTTCACAATTATGTTTGTCGTGTGGACGCTGCTACGATATGTTGACGTGTAAAAGCACAAAACATGCTAAGATAGTTGAGTACACTCTCAAGTTCTCACTTTTCATCCGAACCTATTTTTAAGTTAAAACGTTAAAATGTTAAAATATTTGATATAAAATGCTGAACTCCTCCTTGTTAATTTATCCCGAAGATGGGAGACGTCAGTTTGAGGTTGTATGGCTGCAAAGATATTATATTACTTAGGATTTTATATATTATTATATATATTGTTTAATTTTGTATTTGATTCTTGCTTACCTTATGGTTTGATATGTTCCTGTGTGCTGTGTACTGCAGTGGGAATACTACATCTAATGTTTTTATAGCCTTGTGTGTTATGACGCGGTCGGGGGTGTGTTTATACAAGTAGTGATGAGGTCAAACATGCTGTTCTGGTTATTGATTTCCTTTGCCTGTTTCTGCTCATCTATTAGTTTATTATCCTTGTAGTGGCGGTAAATTTGGTATTCTTCCTTTATATTCATTAATCTACCTTTCTTTGCTACTTCGATCAGTTCCATGACTTGTGAAATTGGGCCGTATTGATGTTGTCTATTTAGGATATGTTGAGCATAGGCGGAGTCATTTTTATTTAATCTTATACTTCTTATATGTTCATTGTAGCGTGTTACTAATTTTCTGCCTGTTTGACCTATATACACTTGTTGGCACCCCTGACAAGTCAACTTGCATATGCCACTTTGTTCGTAAGAATTTATGTTATGTTTGTGGTTTAGTATTTTGCCTAATGTATGATTTACTTTAAAAGCTATTCTTACGTTCGTATTTTTAAATAGTTTC